CGAGAAGTACATCAGTCGGCAGAACCACCAGACGGAGGAGATTGGCGAGGCGCCCTCAGAGGTGTCCGGGGGAGCCGGAGACGGCGGCGACGGCGAGCCGGACGCCCAGTCGGAGGACGGTGAGAGAGCACGCGGCACGGGCCGGAGGAGGCTGTTGTTACTATTGTTGCTGTGTTTTCCCTTCTTCTGCGGTCTGATCGAAGCCGGGTGTAGTCAGGCAGGCTCTTGATAGGCGGTTCGGGGACCGGGCTTGGACCGGGCTAGGACTAGGACGCACGGTGGATATGCCTGACCCGTTGACTAGCATACGAAAAAGGTGGTTTGTGTTTTGCCCGCAGATCGTTATGATATGCACTGTGCAGGACATTTCCTCTTGTAGTGGTGTGATCTTTTTTCATGCCGATATGCTTTTGTTCTAATATTTCATATTTGTATAAACGATTCTGGTTTGGTTTATGGTGTCATATAGAGTTTTGTCTTTGATTTTGTTTTTGTTTTCATTTTATTTTGTTTATGTTTTTTGTTTTCTTTCAGATGTTGTTCTCAGGGCAACGGAAAAAGATCTTAGCATGCGCATTTTCGGAAGTAAGTATATCTTCGTCCTGTGTACAGTGGAGTACGCAAGTACCAAACAACAAATCACTTCTTCGCACTCGTCGCTCGTGGGATGATATGCACATCATTACTGTTATTATGTTCGTTTTATTCCGCGTTTTAATACAGGGCACCAATTCATAGGGCTTTCATATGCATCGTTTTTTCCCCTTTAATTGAATTACGGCTTACCAGCCCCTCAAGACCACAACTGACCCGTCCCTCTCTCCTCCTTCCTCAGAGTGCGAGCAGCTGGAGGCGGTGGCTCAGTACGACTTCACGGCCCGCTCGGCGCGCGAGCTCAGCTTCCGCTGCGGGGACGTGCTCACACTGTACCGTCAGGTGTCCCCCGACTGGTGGAAGGGGCACTTCCGAGGCCGAGACGGACTCGTGCCCGATAAATACATCATGCTGAAAATCAGGTCAGTGTACGGCCGGTGACAGGTTGTGAAGTGGTTGCTAGGCGTGGGATTGGATGCCACTCGAAATTTTATAGATACGTCGGTTATAATTTATGTTTGGCTGCTGATTCATTATATGGCCTGCTGCGTGATAATTGTGCCAATATTGAAATTAGTGACCTTTGATATTCATCTTTATCCTTCACTATCCTCTCCCCACATCTCTTCTCATCCTGCCTCTCCCTGTTTCTCTCCCACACTTTCTCCTTTCCAATCTTCCCTTTCCCTTCCCCTCCTTTCCCTCACCGTACTAACTGCACCACCGGCACCCTATGAACCGCTGTTTGTGTACGCTTTGCCTTGTTCCCTTTACAGAGACGAGGAGCGCACCAGTCTGCTGGAGCCCAGTCCCGGCCACCGTGTCACCGTCACTGTGGTCACCGGCCCGGCGCCGGCCTCGTCCACATCCACCCTGTCCACACGATCCACCGCGTCAGTGGGGTACGACTCGGTCCCGTCCACCAGCGAGCCGGCCGTCCACGAGCAGCAGCTGTACGACCAGCAGCATCAGCAGCAGCAGCTTCAGCAGCAGGAGAGAGCAGCGCCGCCACCCGAGGTACCGCCCGCACCCCCGTAGTCTGCTCTGCCTGCTCTGCCGAGATTTCCCAATTAGAGTGATGCAGAGCACTCTGCCGCCCCTCTGCTCGAGGTCCCCCTTCGGTGGAGTGGTTTCAAGTGCTTCACCACCGCTCGCAGACTGCATGTGCATGGTGTAGCTGTAGTAAGGGATTTAGCTGTGCCTGCTCGGTGGGTGCGACGAGTAGCATGAAGTGGGCGGAGGGGACTGGTATGAGCTTTGAGCCGCGCACCCCACAGGTAGCTGATAGTGCTGTGAACGGGCATGCGGGGCGGACTGGTTTCGGCATGGCGGTGTTGAGCGGATAGGGTGACTTGCAAGGACCGGGGAGTCAGCGCCTAGCGCTGTCGGAAGCGTCAGAACACTAGCAGTCAGACTGCATAGCTGATATAGAACTGCCATTCTGGGACCATTTAGCCGCGGTTGTGGAGCTAATATTATGGGACCATATAGTTGTGGCTGACGTACACAGGGTCGTGCGAGCTGCTTTTTATCATCAGCATCACGATGTTTGATGCTCTAAAATACGTATTTTCGAGGTTTGAAGTGGATATTTATGTTTTCAAAGGCTTATTGGTTGTTAGAGTGTCAATAATTGCTCTGTTTCAACACAGCATTGAACACGTTTGAGCTTAATTCGATTCAATCAGACGGAGAGTGCATAATTTTATTGTATAGCATGTGTGGCATTCACAGTAAGAACACGGCCTCTAGATTGGTAGGCAATTTTTTCTGTTCCTCATATTGACATGTTCTGTCAATACCTTGATATTTCATACAATGCTGCAGCCTTTCATGTCATATTGCCTAGGCTTGCCTTTGCCTTTTAGCTTGGTTTTGGCAGTTAATTACTGTGCAATCTTCGGTGCAAGTAGGCATCTGTTCGATTTATATCGAGGCAATATTTAGCTTAATGAGTGATGGGTGCAATACTGGAAAGACAGGGTTTGCATGAGCCATTTTTTACTTTGCATTTTGTTCGCGAGCATACCGATGTTTTGGATTGGGTTGCATAGATCGATCTATGCAATCTTGGGTTGCATTAATGTATATGACACTGCCTGTGGTTTTATTTTGCTGTAATCGTTTCTTAGCATGCTATTGACGTGACGCTTCATATTTTATAGCGTTTTTTGTTCTTATTTTTGCACTGTTTAATCGTACATAACCTCCATAAGGTGTATCGGATGTACTGCCTGCTTACCCTAAGGCTGTGAATGGCGTATGGTTTCCTGGTCTCGGATATCTGGGCTAGTGGTGTGGCAGATTCGCTGTGTTACCCTACGCCGTAGCAGTTAGTAGCCTGCCGCGTACGTGCGTCGGTCTTAGCCCCGCTTATACTGGATTGGGTCAGATGCAGGTGGTTCATGTATCGTGCTGCTGTAAACGAACGGGGATTCGCAACATTGCTGCTCCATATTGCCATGATTTATTCAGTCGGAAGACAAATAGATATTCACACCGAAAGGTCGCATTGTGTGTAACGGGTAATTCATGTGATGCAGGGTTATTCTCGGGACGATATTAACGAACGGTTACTATCACGCTATGTTTGTGGTAAAAAACGACTGTTTTATCGTTCATGTCAATTGTCATGGTGCCCCGGCTTATAAATGAACGAAAATTATGAAATCCTAACTCACCTAACCCAGGATGCATTTGCCGTTCGCACGGAGAGGTGTATGCAAACTGCTGCCATCTTGAGAAAGGGACAAATCCTTAACTTCTCACAACTGCTCATCTGACCCGACATGTATGAAGTATGAACGACTGAGTGAAAATGCGACTTGCCAAAAGTAGTAACAGAAAAATATCAGTTAAAGTTAACTGCCAAAACATTTGCATTATGCCTATGCTGGACTTTGACTGATTCATCTTTGTCTTGCTTGTTTCTTAATAAACGGACTGTATCTAGACGGAAATTTTTACCGTTCTCTTTCAAACCGAGGATACATTGCCAGTCTCGAGTGGCTGAGATTGTACTTGGTTTGCCAATTGATTCTGTTTCGCCTCAATAAAATTAGCCTAAATAAAAAGTGATGTAATGTAATAACCAGCCAGACTAACTGAGATAATGGGTCATTGGGTCGTGATTTGTCTCAGCATGTATTCGTCGGTCTGCCTTCTCTTTTAAGATTTAAACTGCTCCCCCTGCTGAACGTCTCTTCCTGTCCTGCCCTTCCTACCTAACCCCACCTCCCACTAATGCCACCATGACTGTCTCTCCGGTCCACTGTCCGTCCCGTTCAGCCTGCGTTGCCTGCGCTCGGTGGTGGCACTAACCCTCGACTGGGACCTGCAGAGACCGGAGTCGGCTGGCAGCGGCGGCGGCTGGGTGCCCGACCGGTGCGCCACCCTGCCGCGCGGCGGGCGGCCCACGCCGGCCCCGCGCGCTTCCTCCCTCTCCACACTGCACCAGCCGACGGCGGGCGTCACCGCGGTCCGAGTTAGCGTCCCCGCTGACCGCGAGGAGGTGGACTCTGAGACGGAGCGGCTGGAGCGCGCCATCAGAGAGATGGCTATGGTGTCGGAGCGGCTCCGGGCCGGTCAGCTGTCTCCTGAGGATGAGCCGGCGGAGGACAGCGACCCGCCGCCGCCGGCGCCGGCCAGTGCGCGCGCGGCGCCACGCCGACCGCCGGTGGCCGCTGTACGGCAGGAGCCGGAGTGTTCCCCGCCGACCAGCGGCAGCGTGCTGTCTCGGCGAGCGCTGTGGGAGACGCGCGCGGCGGCTGCCGCCGAGCCGGCCGGCCGGCTGGCGCTGAAACACACGCCGGATCTGGTGCTGGACCTGCCGGCGGAGTGGCACCGGCTGCAGCGCACCTCGAGCGGCTCGTCGGAGGAGGGCGCCGCCCCCGCCCCCGCCCCCGCCCCGACCCCGGCTCCCGCCGCGGCCCCGTCCACGGCTGCCGAGACGTTCGCCCGTCAGGACCAGTGCACGGTTCGCCGCGGCGGCCGGCCGGTGCCGGTGCGGCCCGGCCCCGTGGTGCGTCCCCTGCCGGGCGGAGCGGGCAGTGACGTGGCCGCTGCTCGGCCCGTGGTGGCTGAACCGGCGCCGGCGGGCGATCAGCCGGCGCTGCTGCGACCTCAGGCCAAGGTGAAGCCGCAGCCAGCCCGCAAGCCGAGCCCGAAGCACCGCCCGGCGGCTGCCAAACCTCTACCGGAAGAGTGAGAGCATCGGTGGACGGGGTCCATCATAGCACAGTAGCCAACCGCCCAGCGGACGGGACCAGTACATACGACAGCGGTCAGCCGGCCAGCGGGTGGGGTCCGCCCGGCCGACGGAGCCAGTAAGTATCACGGCAGGCAGACAACCGCTGAGGTCCGTCACAGGCCCGCTTGGGACAGCGCAGCAGATGTGTCGGGTCTGAGTTCAGGATGAAAGCCAAATGTTGCTATCTAGGTTGAGTCTTGCCAATTAGCGAATTCCAGTGGAAACTGTTTTAGAATAGAAAGTTGGATCTAGGTATATGAAAGATGATGCGTTGTTACCACCACGTTGTGGCTAATTGTTGATAGATGACTGTCTTTCATTTGCATTTCAAGTGCATTACTAAGACATCTATCAGATACGGTGCAACTTTGGGTAGTTTTGATGCTCTAGGAAAGATTGTGCACATGTGCACAAGTATGTGTAGTTTTAAAAGACCAAATTGAGCCAATACCCACTCTACGTGAATCTCTTTCGAACTTGTCAATGGAGTTCTGCTCTTAACTTGTTGAAGACTGAATGATGGCATGTGGTCTGCTGGGCGCTTCCTGTGGCAGATGATGTGGCAGATTCTTTTAATGGTTTCGCAATTTGGCAGCTGGCAGCTTGGGTGCTCGTTGACAGCTTGGGCGCTCGTTGGACCTGGTCAAGCCTCCAGTTTGCAGTGCGTAACGTTTCTAAGTTACCTACGTGAGTTTGGTTTTCTGAATAGGTTCAAAGTTACACAACAAAATAATCTGCGGACCTAAAGCAGGCATCATTTACTAGTAATATTAGCAATCTCATATGCCTCCATAACCTTTAACGCTGCAGCTTCGGGACCGCTGGGCACTGAGCGTTCCCATTGTAGCCCAATAGGGTATCGGACAGGGCGCTCTTCTTTCGTTTCTCGTCTGCTCAGAGCGATGGGTTTGTGTGTGTGTGTGTATTGAAACAGGTGCTACTAGATACGAAGGCACCGGACCAGATGCGTTGTTGGTTAATCGACGTCGCACTCAGTAGTTGTGGTAGATGCTCGGGTTAGGTGGTCGAGCCAGGGACAGCGTCGTGACACGAATTCGATGGACGCGGAAAGCCCGAAGCTTCCGATGGTTGATGGCATGTTGACTGTTGCCGCGTTTGGAGCGTTTTGTCGGACCAATCAGTTAGTTCATGTGTTAGGTGTGTCTGGAGGCATTTATCGCGTTGATGTGGACATTGTTAACCTATCCGCAGTGACGACGTGTTTAATTGTAACAGCTTCGTACTATACCAGCTGAGATATTAACGCTTGAACGGGCCGCCGTGGGCCCAACATACTCCCATAGTTAATGTTAGGCGGGCTGCCCCAGTGTGGTTCAGACCCCATTCGGACATTACTCGTGAGTGTTAGTGAGATATGGGCAGCTAGCCCCCGAGAATCTCTATAGGCGCGTTTGGAGTTTGTGTATATATGTTGGTGTTCGAATTTGTACGAATGGGCACGAGCTGATGTCCCGTGTTACTGTTAACGAGGCGAGTTGAGTTAGAGAGCTACAGCTATAGATCGCAACAAACCTGTGATTTTAATAGTCGTTTATGTATACTCTTTGAGAATGTTTTCTCTACGTTAATAAACTGACAAACATATAAACATTTTTTAATTTTGTAAATCGGACCTCAGTAGCTTCAATTCTAAGCATAAGACTGAGCCAAGACCTTATATACCGCATAAGTCAATACTCTTGAGTCGTTTCTCGCCCGGGGTTCATTGACGAAATGAAAGCAGACGAAGCTGCAGGCTAACAGAATGAACAGGAACAGAAAACAGAACATCCCGACCCCAATAACAGTCCTCGACTGTAGGTGACTTAGCATCCCTTCTGCAGCAGGTAGGGCCAGGTACAAGTTGAGTTCCTTGCGTTGATGCGGTGGTGAGATAGCTCTGAACAAAGGATGGGTAACAACTATCGTTCATCTTCAAGCCGTTCAACATCGTTCAGCAAACGAACCATATCAAAACCATATTTATGTGTCAAACACACAGCTAGGACTGTCGACCGCCCTTTGGCTGCCTTGCCTCAACATACCGGCGTGCAAAGCTCATCACAATACATTCGTAACAAACGTAACTCAGTAGTTCCGAGTTGCCTTTTGCAACTTCACTTGAACTGACTACGCCCGACACACGTCTATAACACAGGGATGATGTGGGACTCCCATGGAGAAGCATCACTGGCAGGTCTGATGATCTGATGCGCGTGAAAGTAAGCGGGGTTGGGGAAGCGAGCGACGCCGGCCCCCTGGCTGTTCTTTGGAGCTGCACTTTGTGCCGGCTCACCGCTCCACACGAGGCCTCAGACCAAATACAGCTGTTGTCACAGCTTTGGGTGCAGGGGCCGCGGGCTAGGGAACGGAGCAAACACAGACCGTATCACACACGGCACTGCTCAGTTGGCGTGCCTGGCTTCGGCTGGCTGCTTCTTTGGTCTGTGGGTGCCCCGACACCAGCGGTTACTCCCACGGTAGCATCTTTACCCGTGTCGCTCGCGAACTCTGGTCTAAGTCCTGCGCTGCCTGCCGCGTCACGTCAGTAGACTAGCTCTGTCCCCACCAGGGTGCGGGGGTGGGGTCAGCCGGTCTCCGCCCTACGTCCGCAGTCCTCCTTCCCCTGCTCCCCAACGGCACTCCCTTGTCTCTGGCGCTGGTCTTCAATGATGGATCGGGCCAAAGCGGTGATGTTGCCCTGGCCGAAGCCGCGCGCGCCCCGCCGCTCCAACACCTCCATGAAGAAGGTGTCCTCCTCAAAGAGCGGCTCGCTGAAGATCTGCATCAGGTACCTGCAGGCAGAGGCCGACGGTGAAGGCGGTGCTTCAACGAGCAAGTAGGGAAATCGGAGACATGAGACTAGTATTACATTGACAGAAGTATTTCTGCCGGGACGTTTTTTTTTTTTTTGTAACGCGGGAGGCATTGGCGGGATGATAGAACAAGTATTTGAGATGCACGAAAGAAGATATAGCACTCTCGCCGGGCAAGCGCTTCAGCGTACAAAAAAAAAGAGTTAACACCCAGACCTCGCACCAATTCTTGCAAGTCGCGACCACCCTCCCGATAAGTTTCTAGCAGTGAGCGGACATGCTAATTGCTAAGTCAGCCTTCACTGCAATCACCCCCATGTAACTTGCTGAGGTCAGACAAGGGACCGGCCGAGGTCCCCGGTCGCCCGCCACTCGCCTGTCTCCGGTGTCAGTGTCGCTGTCGGCCTCCGAGTCGAGCAGCAGCCCGAGCTGTCGGAACCGACTCAGCTCCTCGCCGGTGATACCGGCCGCCGCGATCTCGGCACCCTTCCCCGTCTGGGGGGGGGGGAGGGGGAGGTCAAGACCGGAGAGGGACGGGATCAGACTGGGACAGTAAACAATAGTAGCGAGAAGTTCGCTCTTCATAGCACTTGACAGTGTAGAAAGGCTTGGTAGATGACAAGCTTCCTTAGACATAGATGGATTGTAGTGCGTAGGAAGTAGTTGTAGTTGCGAATCGACTCCATCAACATCACTAGGAGTTTGGACACACTGCTGATTCTAAATGTGCCGACTTTTGGTCATTTTCCACTTAAGTCTGTGTATGCCTATTGTCTGTGTCCCGTTTCACGCTCACTAACTACTGTTCTGTGGGTGGGCGGTTAAATGCACCATAACAACCGGCTACATGAGTGAACGTGGCATACCTTCGCTCTCCATCAGTGTTGCCGATAGTAGCTTTTCTATTACTCCCCTGAGAATAACCTCACCACACACTCCAGGCCTCCCTTCCCCGCCCGGTCTCCGTTACCTGAGTGTAGTAGGGGCTATTCCACACGGTCCCCCATTTACCTGCGTATAGCGGTAGCTCACTGGGCCCACTTACCCTAGTGTAGTAAGGACTATCCCATCGTCCCTCATTTACCTGAGTGTAGTAGGCGAGCGGCGGTCGTCGGAAGTTGACCCCCTTATCCTAGTGTAGTAAGGACTATCCCATCGTCCCTTATTTACCTGAGTGTAGTAGGCGGGCGGCGGTCGTCGGAAGTTGACCCCCTTATCCTAGTGTGGTAAGGACTATCCCACGGTCCCATTTACCTGAGTATAGTAGGCGGGCGGCGGTCGTCGGAAGTTGACGCCTCTGCTGGTCATACCGGCCACCCTAGACACGATATCGTCTGTGTGCAGACCGATGTGCTGCACCCCCGGGCTGCCGTGCTGCCGGTTAAACGTCTCCACGTGCGAGTCGTCTGGGCGCAGAGGGCAGAGGTCACAGGTCGGACCGTGAGAGGTCAGGGGCAGTTGGGTGGGAGGTCAGATCGAAAGGTCAGAGGTCAGAGCACTGACCGGTCTCCGGTCACAGTCCAATATCGGTGATGTAGTCTGTCTGACAAGCAC